TTCATGGATAATAATAAAAATAAGAAAGTTCTGGACTCCTTTTTAATGGTTAAAATAAATTGTATTAATCAAAAAGCATGTCTAATTAATTAAAATCATGAAACTTAATTTAACATCAATTTATTAAAAATTTAACACAAATTACATGTTTAGGGTCCTATGAAATATGTTTTATTGTTACCAAATTCTGTATAATTCTGTATATAGCATGTCTAATTATTTGAAAGCATAAAAACAAGTTCAATTATTCTTACAATAGCCTTACAATTTTTCCCCCTCAGAAATTCTGTTTTGAGTATTTACATTTTTTAAGGCATAAAACATTCATTTAATTTATCTTTTAAATAATGAAAATAAAACACATTTTATTTTTTAGGAAAATAAAGGGGATTTAATATTACAATTAAAATATTGAAGAAATAGTGTATGATTATTCCTTAAAAATAAGGTTTTAATAATTTTAGTAGTAGTAGTAGTAGTTTGTTCATGTATTTATGTCCTCATTAGTGAGACGGCAGACGTTAATATCACCGGAATCATCGCACGCGCTTCAGTACGAGTAGTAAACAAAACCGCATGTCTGCGCCATTCATTAACACACATAATTCATATTTAAATAGTCGTTTTGCGGCTTAATATTTACAAATACTAGTGGGAGTGGGAGTGTGCTCACTTGAGTGTGTGCATCGGTGCGGAACTCCGCTGTGCGTGATACAGAGAGCGTGACCATGTAATGTAGAGACAGAAATGACATGCCGTCGTGTAAATAAGATCAATAACATAAGGCTATTTAGTTCGTTTAATAAAAGAACAAGGTATAGACCTGTTCTATAGAAAAGGTAACTTTAAATGACTTCTGTTGTGATCTGGCGCTATAGAGAAAATAAAAGTTAAAAAAAAAATTAAATTAACTTGACCTTCAAGGGGGGCGGGGGGTGCCGTTGGGAGGACGGGCCGCCCCCCCTAATATAATGGCAGGGGAAACAGTGTTTCTATCAAATAAATGCCACTTGGTTTGATTTTTGATTCATATTGTACGTTTTGAAGTGTGGCTTAAATAGCCAAATACTTTTTAGGGATAAACACCACGTATGTTCTTATTAGCTATGATTTTGTTGCTTAGTGCATTCTTTTCAGTCTTGCACTAAGGACTGAAGTAATAAGATGAGGTGTTAGAAGAATCACTGCTTCTATGAACGATCTGTACGCTCATTCTTTCTCTCATGACGTGTAAAGACGTGGCACTCATTCAGAGATATTTTGTCCATTATGTTGCGTAGGGGAGGACGACATTCACCGCTTTGTCACCTCGGCCTTAGCATAGAAAAATCTCTCTCTTTGTCAGCTCATCCTTGACAGTGATGAAGAACGTGCAGCTGAGCTGACGTTACTGTTACCGTGGTAATTGTGTTTCTCTTCAGTCCATGTCATCTTCAGAGAGAGCCACTCAAGCATGGATTCTGTTTTAGCCTTTTGTCTCCCTCCCTAGCATGAATTTTAATTCTGTTGTTTTTCCACATGAACAAAGCGGCCAGCATTCACCCGGGAGTCTGGGAGAGCTCTAAGTCCAGCTATGCATTTTTACCCCTCATAGGCGCCTCCGTATATTCATTCTGGAAGTGCTTGAAGCTATAGTGGCTAATTCTTTAATGGAAGTGCATCTCTCCTAAGCTTGTTGCTGTTGTCTGGACACTGATATCACCCTGCAGCAAAGTCGCTACTGTGGGAAAATACAATCAATTATATGCGCATTGTTGAAGCTCTGTGCAGGAATTATGGAAATGTTTCGGTCAATTAACCCATCAAAGATGGCTTGCTTTGTCATCGCCCGAGCAAAGTTTGCCGCAAACAGCCATCAGAAAGAGAATGGTGCAGTCTGGTGTCGTTTTATAGGGTGTTGCCGGCTTCCTCCAGATGCACGTTTATAAGATTCCAGTCACAGAAAACAGCTTTTTGTGCAACGGTAGAATGGAGAAATGAAATGAGATAGACGCACAGAGAAAGAGACAGAGAGACAAAAAGAGACAGGCGACGGTGTCAGCAAAATTAATCATGGAAATGTTTGTTAACGTTTTTTTATATATATACATATTTGTCAGTGATAATGAAGATGAGAGAAGATGAGACAAAGATGCTTAATGACAATAATTAAACAGTTTTAATTAAAACATGCTTGAAATATGATGAGGGAAAGATAACTAAGATAATAATGCAGTAAATGATTTTAGAAGAAGATAAAAAGAACCGGGTGACATTATCTAATTATAGTATGTTGAAAGAACTGAAACTGAAAGAGCTGAACAGTGATGCCCATATATATTTCTTTGCACAGATAATGAAACAAATTGACAAACTTGAGTTCTAATCAGAATGTGCAAGTCGTTGTTGCCATAACATGTTACACTTAAGAAATATTCTGAAAAGTTTCAAGTGGAAAATGAATAACAGTCTTTAAAGCATGAAGAGCACAGTAACTGACAATTAACAAATACCTTAGTGCACACATTTTTTATTTATTTACTTATTT